GCTGCATTCCTTTCTGGATGTTCAAGGAGAGAGTCTGTGTGCCTTTTCCATCTTCTAATGATTGCCCATATTTCTTGACTTATGGTGCCCTTCCTCCATCTTTAAGACTAGCTATGTTTTCTCTCTCTGCTATTCTCCCATAGTCACATTTCCCTCGGACCGCAGCTGGGAATGGTTCTCTGCTCTTAAGGACCCATGTGATTATATTGGATCTACCTAGATAACCTAGGATAATCTCCCTATTGCAAGGTCTTTACCTTAATCACACAAGTAAAGTCCCTTCTACCAAGTAAGATAACATATCTCTGTAAAGGATTTGGAGAGCACAGATTGTTCAGACTTTAGAGATAAAACAGGAGTACAGTCTCCTTGTTGTAATTCAGCTTGGTACAAGTTCTAAGTATTAGACTCCTTCAAACATTCTCTATTTTTACTCTTCCTTTCTTTCATATAGCTCTGACTTTCAGCTGCTCATCCTTGTGGTTTTGGTTCTTGTTTTGCTACTTTTACCTTTGTTTCCAGGCAAGTGTGAACACTCTTTGAGTGAACTCTGTTGCTCTCTAAAGGAGAGAAAGAATGTCTTTTGGAAATTTATATCTTAGATCTCTTTTCTTCAGATGTGGGTCACAGCCGTTGTCCTGTGGGCTCCTGCTTCACTTACTTTGGCTGATTCAGATGACAATGGCTGATTGGTCTGTGTGTTCATCACGTAGTCTGAGGTCCCTTTTGTACTCCAGATTTGTTCTTGTGTTATGTTGTGCCTTTTTGTTGTTCTCAGGCTTCTTTGGGTGGACTTTTTACCTCCTAATCCTCAGAGTCTACGTGCCTCATTCTGTTTTCTTTGTATTTTTTTCCTAAAATTCCTCTTAATTATTTTTACTTCTATCTCTATACTATTATCAGTTCATTTGACCCAGTCTGGTTTTATCTCTCCCCAACACAATCATACCATCTTTTCTTAGGACTTACGTGTATACAATTAAGGCCAGTCAGTTCCCCTTTTATGAGGGAAGTCCTTTTGTTGATTCCCTATAAACTGTAAAACCTTAAGACCCTCAGATTTTCATTTAAACCCATCTACTCTGGCTCCCTTTTTGGATGTCTCTTCAGCTCCTAGTATCTTTTTGGTACAGAAGTTTGCCTGTCTTGTTTGTTTTTAGTGAAGTTTATAGAATAGGTGGGTGGGCTTTGTCATATTCTTGTTTGGAGGAAATTTCCTTTGGTGTTGAGCTCTGTTTATAGTTTACCAAGGTAAAAATTAAACTGTAGATACCAGAATGTCTTTGTCATGAGACTCTTTCTAAAACTTTATTATGAAGTTTTTTAAATATTGAGAAAAGTTGAGAGTAAATAGTGAGCACTCATATAACTCTCAGCTTCAACAAATGTTACCATTTGTCATATATACCTTATCTCTATATATTCATGTTTTTTTTTGCCGAACCACTGTCAGTAAATTGCAGACATCATAACACTTCACCCCCAAATACTTAAGCATGCACCTCCTAAGAACAAGAATATTCTCCCAAAGTCACAGAGTACCATTATCACATATAAAAAAAACAAACAAGAATTTCAGATTAGCTAATAGTCAGTACATATTCAAATTTTCCCAGTTGTCCTAAGAGTATATTTCATAGCTGTTTTTTTAAAAATAAGCTAATAGAGTTTATGTATTGCTTTTGATCATTATGAAACTTTAATCTGGAATGATTACTATGCTTTTTCTTCATGTTATTGATTTGTTGAAGCATTTGGGCCAATTGTGTTGTAGCATATTCCACATTCTAAATTTGTCTCATTGTTTTCTCAAGGTTATTTAACTTGTTCCTTTTTTATCTTTCTTTGTAGTTCCTATGAACTACAAGTTAGGTCCAGAGGCTTGATTAGATTCTGGTTCAGCACTTTTTGCAAAGATTCATGAGTGATGTTTGTGTACAAACATTGCGTCATATTGCATCACATTAGAAGGCACAGAGTGTCAGGTTGTCTCACACTTAGTGATGATAATTTTGCTGACTACCACATCTCTCACTGGTAAAGGTCCATGTGTCCCTTTGCAATTAGTAGGTTACCTTCAGGGTGATTACCAAATGTAATGGCTTTAACATCCACTGATTATCCTGATTATAATTATATTGGGCACTACAAAACAGTGATTTTTAATTCTATTATTTAATCTTTATTAGCTGAACTTCCTTGGAGAAAAGCTTTCCTTTTCTCTGTCTTACTCTCTTTTTTATGAATATCTCTGTAAACTCATAGATATTTAGTTATTCAAAGTGTTAGTTGATTTCAGTTGTAATTTTTATATTCACATTGCCCCAAATTTGGCCAATGATAGTCCCGGCAAGCTGCTTCTTGCTGTGTCATTTTGACAGGACTCCACTACTCTTTGATTGTTTCCTTCCTGGCATACAATGCCCCAGCTCACTTTGTATTTAACTCTACTCTGGGCCTGGAATCAATTATTTTCTTCAAGGTTTCTTTATGTGACTCGTTTTTCTGGGGTGTCATTGCTTCTAGGCTCTTTGAGGCAACGAAGTAGATACATTTTTTTAAAAAGAAGTCATCAGTTCATATTAATATTTCCAATTCCTATTTAACATTACAGATCTATCTTCTTGACTTCTTTTGCTTTATACATGTATCTTTTTTCTTACATTACAAATTCCAGATTTTAATAGCATTTATGTTATTTGCTTTATCATGCAATATACATAAGTTTCAAAATAATACAACTTTTACTAACAATAAACCTATATAAATAAATCTGCTGATGGAAGTTTAAGATCTCCTTACAGCCCACTACCCTTTTCTCTTGAATATACATCTTAGTAGGGATGTATAGTCAGAATACAGTTTCCTTTCTCTTTATCAATTTGGTATACAGATACATTCATTTATTTTCCTTTTTGTGTTTAGTTGTAGGGTTTGCCTTTTTTCCTTTTGGATTTAATTTTATTTTTTGATTCCGTTCAAGATTTTGAATCATGGTTCAAAAGTCAAAACTACACAAAAAGGTATACTTAGAGGAGTCTCAGTCCTTTCCCTAACATTTTAATTATCTCCTTGTTTATCCTCTGTTTTATATGTGTATGTATATTCTTATTTGCTCTTTTTTTTTTTTTATCCCATTTGGCTTTCTGGAGCTTTATTGATTGATTAAGTGGCTTGCATCTCTACAAGGCCACCACTCATTTTTAAAAAAAATTAAAGTATCATTAATATACAATCGTATGTTGGTTTCAAATGTACATCACAGTGGTTCATCAGTCTCTGTGATCAACTTCTATTGTGATTATGAATTATTGTGCCCTTTTATCCCCCTCCCGTCTACCTTGGTAACACTAGTCACTTCTCAGTGTCTGTGAGTCTAATGCTGTTTTGTTCCTTCTGTTTTCCTTTGTTTTTATACTCCCCAAATAAGTGATATCATATGGTATTTGTCTTTCTCTGCCTGGCTTATTTCACTGAGCATAATGCCCTCTAGCTCCATTCATGTTGTTGCACATGGTAAGATTTCTTTTCTCTCTATGGCTGAATAATATTCCATTGTGTATATGTACCCACCTCTTCTTTATACATTCATCTACTGATGGACACTTAGGTTGTTCCATGTCTTGACTATTGCAAACAGCACAGCAATAAACATAGGGGAGCAATTCCCTTGTTTCTTACACAGATACTTTATATACTGTTTGCATAACTTTTCTCAACAATGGATCCTGGAAATCACTCATATCAGTTTATAAAGTGTTTTCCTTCCTTCCTTCCTTCCTTCCCCTGCTTCCTCCCTCCTTTCTTTCATTTTTAATGACTGCATTGTACTGTGTTGTATAAAGTTCATTCAATCAGTTCCCCTTTAATGGACATTTTGGTTGTGTCTAATCTTCCGATTAATCTTATCCAATTATGTTTTATATTTTTGGAGTTATATCTTCAGGATGGATTTCCAAAAGTGAGATTTCTGGATTAAAGGATAAATGTAAACATAATTTTCTTTAGATTCTTTTCCATAGTGGTTGTATTATTTTGTACTGTTACTAGGACTGTATCAGGGTAGTTGTCACAGGATTCTGTGTGATTCTTCCTTGTCTATTGTCACCCCATAGTAATTCTAAATGGTATTTTCTGTATAATGATTCTAAAATGTGATGTAGGAACCACTTGTAATTTGTAAGGACTTTTGGGGTGGTTTTTGTCAAATACAAGCATTACTACAAATGTCTATATTTTTGTTTCTGGCTCATTTGAGGATATACATGACATATTTTATTTTTTAAACTTCAGTAGTATCATCTCACAGTTTTCCTGTCATATTTCTTGAGATATATTTTTGGTGAAAAGGAAATAAGCTATGGAATAGGGTATTTTGAGGAACTTTTATTTTTTAAATAACCTGCCAGTCAAATCATTTTGAGAACCATTGTCCTTGTAGCCTGAAAAGAATTTTAGATACTGCTAACCATTTGTTCTTGATTTTCTTTTATATCCTGCTCAGGCTCCTGTTTACATCCGGGAATGTGCCAGATTGCACTACTTGGGCTCCAGAACTCAAGCATCAAAGGTAAGAATAGGAAAGTGCTCTTAGCCCAAACAAGGATAGAATTAATTAAGAGTAGTGGGTTTTAAAACAAAGTATGAAATTAAAGTAAAGCCATGGAAAATAAAATATTTTTAGTGTTCAAAATTGTCTAGTCATTTTGAAGTAAGGGAAAAGACTGAGAAGAAAGTTATATGTTGAAGTAAAAATACCCCTACATACAGTTTTCTTGTCTCATTTCAGAGTTGCTCCTCTGGTGGATGGTATCTTTTACATATGAATTATAGACCAGGTGTCTAGGTTTTTCCTAAAGCCTTTGTGCATTCCTATAAGGATATGATATAAGTAATCTGTAAATGTCAAATGTCTTAAATATTTTACAGTAAGAAAAGTATAGTTTTATGCAATACATTCTTATTTCATGTTTGGTGATAAGTCCATCAAATGTCTAAAAACTTGAGACCACATGAGCTTAGAAAGCAAATGTGTGCTTTTTAACAAGGTTACATATGACTTTTGAGGTTTGAAAGTGAGAAGTTAAAAAACTTCACAAGCACTTTTTGAAGATTTTGGTGATTTTTGGTTTACATTTAGTCTGCCTTGGTTAGAACCTTAAGCTGTCATGTTATGTTTATTTTTTTCTGCTCCTGTTTGTTTCTGCCTCTCATTTAGCAAAAAATTTGGTGTGACCAGGAAAACAGTATTTGATTTCCGCTAGCTTAACTGAAGTGTGGTTTTTCTTAGAGAGCTGTTTTTATTCCTCTACCACTGTTGTGTAGTTATCACATCTTGTTGTCACATGGAAAAGAGTACCAGCTGCGAACCAGTACACCTGGTCTCCAGGATGGTCTGTCACTTTAGTATCTAGATGACTTCAAAGTTTTGGCCTAACTTCAATTTTTCTTCTGTCAAATGGAAATGATGATACTTTCTCTACTTACCTTATATGATAACAGTGAGAATTACATGAGATTAAAAGATACTTTGAAAACTGAACTCTTCATATAAATATAATTTTTGGTAAGTAATATTCTAAATGAACATAAGCTAGCTTTCTAGGCAGGAGAGTGGGCTATTAATATAGTCTATAATTATAGGTTTCTCTTTATCTGGTAATAGTATTTAGATTTTTCTTGTTGCTAGATACCATGTTCTGCACTTCTCCCCCTTTTTTATTCCAGGATTGTGGACATCTGAACACAAACTGGCAGAATATATTCATTCACTTTTCTTTTAAATTTTTTCTAGGATGATCTTGATCTGATAGCTTCATGTCATACTAAGGCCTCCCAACAGGCAAAATCTCAGAAATGGAACCAGCTAGATTCCAGTTCTCAGCAGGAAGAAACCCAGCAGCATACAGAAGAGGCCCTGAGAGAGCTATTCCAACACGTTCACAATATGCCAGAGTCAGCAAAGAAGAAACAGCTTATTAGACAGGTGCTTGAAGACAGGGAAACAATGACGGGAATTTAGGACTGGGATTGAGGTTATGGACTCACTAGGGAATATTGTTAAGAATCTCATTTAATTTTTGGTTCTTATTGGCCCAAGCTTGGCTCAGCCAAGAAGGCAAACTTGTCTATGGAATCTCAGTGGTGATCTCTATATTATGCCTTACTAGATAGAGCAAGAGTGGAGACTCTTGAATTTCTAGAGTTAAACAGAAGGATCCAAGTGTGGTGAGTTTGTTTAATTCTGGTTGTGTACCAAGTGTGCTGAGAGAGAATCAGGAGTTACATTGTTCCAGAGTTTAAACCCTTCAGATTTTCTTGGCAAATAATTTGCTGTCTCTGGATTCAGTTTTCTTGTTAGTAAAAGTGTAATTGTAATGTGCATGTTTCATGGTTGTAAAAATTAGAGTTATCGATGTAAAGTGGTTGGCACAGCAGAGCAAAAGCAGTAGATCTTATTAATGGGTGATTTGCAGTTAGAAAACACTATAAATCAAGAGCCTCATTTGATGCTAGAAAGTAGGATTTCTAGTGACTTTGTTTATTTTGGAGCTATGGGATCAAAATCAGGTCTCTGATTTGCCATTCTGAGACTCAAATTGTAGCCTGAGTAAATCCTGATGACTTAGTTTTTTTCTCAGAAGATTAATTTTATCTCAGTCCCTCTTGAACTTTAGCTGAACAGGCAAGATCAGCCTCTTGACTTCTTCAACTGAGACCTTCTTGAGGAAAGTCTGTGTTTTTTTTTTTTTTCATACCTTATCTCAAGCGTAGGACCAGATATAAACGAGTGCTCAGAAAATGTTGAACTGAGCAATTTTAATAGTTGACAGAGTACTTTAAGAGAAGTTTTCATTGTACTTTGAAGTTGCTTTGAGATTTAGCAAATTATGCTGACTGGAATTTTAGAGGGTGTTGGCTGAATTTAACTGCAGATTCAAAGCAGAGTAGTGATTTAATTCTTGGCAGAAACCAAGCAATTCACGTAGGGCAAGTGTAATGACTTTTCTCATCAGCAACGCTGAGGGTTAAAGATAATAACAAAGGAAAAATGAAGATTATTTTTGTTCTTTTTAGAAAAATAGGAAATTATAGAGAAAAAGCAGAAGAAAATAAATCGGTCAACCCATTAGTGTTTAAATTTGGGGTGTTTCTTTCAGTGTTTTTCCTATGGATATATTTTTATATAGTCATGATCAACCACATACTTTTTTAAAATATGTTTTTTATCGAAGTATAGTTGATATATACAATATTATGTTGGTTTCAAGTATACAATGTAGTGATTTATGCATACTTTCTTTTTTCTTTCCCATTTTCAATAAATATTACAGCATAAGCATCTTCTCATGTATGCTTGCAAACTCTTTGTCATTTCTTTCTTTTGAGGTACTTCCTTTTTTTTTTTTATTTTGCTATTGGTAATGTACATGAGCAATATTATGGTTACTAGACTCCCCCTATTATCAAGTCTCCACCACATACCCCATTGTCATTTCTTTTTGAAGTAACTATAATATTACTATTTCCTAATTTTTTCTTCATGATTATAAAAATAATGAATACTCACTAAGAAATATTGAAACCTCCAGAAGAGTGTAAAGAAAAAAATCACTTATGCTCATGCAGAGATAACTGCTGCTAACATTTGGGAGTTTTCCTTCTAGTGTTTATTTCTGTGAATATGTGTTTCACATTTTCTTTCTTTTGCTTAATTATCATAATATGTATTCAGTTTTTTATAGTCTTACCCTTTTCATTGAACATTATATCATGAACATTTTTTATGTCATTAACAGGCTGTCAGACATTTTTAATGGTTGCATAATATTTCATTACATATAACCTAATCTATATACAGTGTGCCTACTTTTGGACATATTAGGTCATATTTTAGTTTATAAATTTTTGTTCATGAGTTTTTTCATTGCAGGTTATTTCATAGAAATAGCATGACCAAAGGGTATGCACTTTTTTTTAGATGATACATCTAAGATATAGATCCCTTTTAATATACAGGTCTTTCCTTTATCCCCCAGCCCCCTTTCCCCCCTGAAAAACTGCCAAAGTTTATTTGTTGGAATAAAATTTTAAATTTGAAATAATTTATATTTAGAGAAAAATTGCAAAGATAGTATGGAGAATTCTCACATACCCTTCACACCTTTCCCCTTAATGTTGACATTGTTGAAACTAAGAAATTAACATTGGTACATTTCTATTTTTTTTATTGAAGTATAGTTGATATACAATCTTATATTGATTTAAAATATACAACATAGTGGTTTAACAGTTAGCCTGTATTATTAAATCCTCACTTCCACCAGTGCAGTTACTGTCTCTTAACACAGATGTTACAGAATCATTGACTATATTCTCCATGCTGTACATTACTATTAACATTACAGACTTCATTCATATTTTACCAGTTTTTAAACTAATATCCGTTTCTGTTCCAGGACCCAATCCAGGTTACCACATGCATTTACACATACATGTACACACATTCTCATTCTTTCTCTTTTTCCCTTGTTTGTTTCCATATTCAGGATTTTGCTGATTCTACCCCTGTGGGGTTATTTAACATGTTCCTCAGTCTTTTTGTATTTGCTATCAATTAGTAGTTCAATCTAATTTTAAATACTTGATCTGAATTGCAGTTAGATTTTTTTTTGTAAGAACAGTGCTGTGTATTTGTCAGTACAGTAGTTCCCCCTTCTCCACAGGGAATACATTCCAAGACTTCCAGTGGATGCCTGAAAACTGTGGATAGTACTCTCTCTATATTACATTTTTTCCTATACATACATACATATGATAACATTTAATTTATAAATTAGGCACAATAAGAGATTAACAAAACAGAACAATTATAACAATATACTAAAGTTAGGTAAATATAGTCTCTCTCTCTCAAAATATCTTACTGTACTGTATTCACCCTTCTTGATTTGAGATGATAAACATTCCTGGGTGATGAGATGAAGTGAGGTGAATGACAGGCATTGTGAGCCAGCGTTAGGCTACCATTGACCCAATGATATGTCAGAAAGAGAATCAGCTTCTGGACCTTGGTTGACTGTGGGTAACTGAAAGCATGGAAAGCAAAACTACAGATATGGGGGGACTACTGTATGCATTTTTAAAGGCTCTGGATACACATTGCTAAATAATTTCCCAGAAAATTTTACCAATTTATGCTCCCATTAGCTGTATACAAGAGAGCCCACCTTACTGCACCCGGCCAACATTACTAGGAATGATGGGGTTTTACTTGTTCCAATATGTTCAGGAGGAATACTTACTAGCTAAGATCTTTAGAGGTGCTTAAATTTTCTGTCTGCTGAGGTAATCAACTTTGAGAACTTCTTGATACCTGTACATTAAAAAAAATGTCATTTTTTAAAAACCTCCAGAACTGAACCTGAACTGATAAAAATTTACAAAATTGTAATTCAGATATTTAAAAACTATTGTTAGAAAAGGCAGAAGAGTAGAAGACTCAGATACTGTATTGTTTTTTAACTGGGGAGTGAATGGGTGCTAAAACATTCAGTGAGCCTATAACAAGGCTTTAGGTCTTCCCTTTTTCCACTTCAGATGCTTCTGATCAGCTGATATTGAAAGAATTGACAAATTTGTATTCCGATGAATTTCCTCTGATGATATTGCTGGCAAGCCATCATGGTAGATACCCATTTTCAGAGTCAGTAACTTTTTAATTCTGTGTACAATTTATGTTAAATGAAGGACTGTTTTAGGTTGTGCTAGTTACTCTGTGCAAGATACTTTATGCAAAAAATCTTTATTACTAGCTGGAAATCCTGGGCATGCTACATAAGTCTCCATTTCCTTGTCTGTAAAATGGCGATAATAATTTCAACCTCATATTACTTATGAAATAAGGAAAATGAAGTGCAGGACCCCTCAGGGTAATTTAATAAATTTTGACTTCTTTTTGCATCATTTCTGTCTTTGTGATTTGCTTGCTGACCTGCTAATTCATCTATGCACAGACTTACTTATTCCTGGACTTTTCTGGGTATTTACATTTAGGACTTCATAGCTTTCTCTTCATGGGAGAATAGTAGTAAAATATCCTCCTTGTTTTCTTTTAGTTTAATAAGCAGTCTGTGACCCAAACACCAGGGCGAGAATCCTCTACTCCTCCGGTACAGAAGAGGGCCCGTTCACGTTCCTTCAGTGGCCTTATTAAGGTGGGTGTGCTGTGCTGTTATTTTCAGCAATGATTTTAAGAAGAAAATATAGCATTCTGTTTGTCTTATTTTTAAATTTTATTTATTTACTTCTTTTTAATTGAAATATATTTGATATGCAGTATTATATTGGTTTTGGGTGTACAACATAGTAATTTCCCAGTTATGTACATTACAAAATTTTCATCATAATAAGTGTAGTTACCATCTGTCAATATGCAGAGATATTACAATTTCATTTATTATATTCCCTCTTCTGTACTTGTGAAATCATGATATTTATCTTTTTTTGTCTGACTTATTTCACTTAGCATAATACCCTTTAGGTCCATCCATGTTGTCACAAATGGCAAGATTTCTTTATTTTCTATGGCTGAGGAATATTCCATTGTATATGTGTGCCTCATCTTCTTTGCCTGTTCATCTATCAGTGGACACTTAGGTTTCTTCCTTATCTTAGCTATTGTAAATAATGAAGTGATAAACATAGGAGTGCTTATATCATTTTGAATTAGTGATTTTGTTTGCTTTGGGTAATTCCCAGAAGTGGAATTACTGGGTCATATGGCATTTCTATTTATTTTTTTTGGAAACCTCCATACTGTTGGCTGCACCAGTTTACAAAACCCCCACCAATGGTGCACAAGTATTCCCTTTTCTCCACCTCCTTGCAATCACTTGTTGTTTCTTGTCTTTTTGATGTCAGCCATTCTGACTGGTGTGAGGTGATACCTTATTGTAGTTTTGATGGCATTTTCCTGATGACTATTGATGTTGAGCATCTTCTCATGTGTCTGTTGGCCATCTGTATGTGGTCTGATTTTTCGTATATCTAACAGTTTTCTTCTACTTTTTGGGATCTAATAAGAATTTATTTATAAGGGAATAAGGATAGAATTTGGAAAATCTTGTATTTTCCAAAGTATTTTGCTGTGTTTCACATCAAAGAGGGGGCTCTATGTTGGAGAACAGAGGAGTAACAGAAACAGAGGAATTCCTTCTGAGGAATTCCTGAGCAGTGTAGAGAGTCTCCTGCTTCAGGACATGCTTTTTGCTACACACTTCATTGTGCAATTTGCAAAAGCTATGGACAAATGAGGGAGTTGCCAGAGACTTAAGGATTGTTAGAAAATGGATTTTAAATAGGCTGGTGAATTTTAGGTACTTAAAGTATTTGTAAGCTTAATATTTTGATCAGTTGTTATAATATCTTCCTTTGTATCAATTAATTAAAATCTTGTTTTAAAAACAAATACAAAATGTACTTCTGTGCTGTTGCTACCATCACCGTTTGCAGATTGAATTTATGTGTCTTCATGGATGACCTGAACTTGTAGTTAAGGGATATTGCCTCCAGGCGGCAGTAGATTGCTCAGCTACCGGGTTCAAATTGCCAGGCGTACACTGAAGCAAGGTTTTAACTAACTTCGAGAGAGATTAAGCACTGTTCTCTTGTTTTTCTTTATTAAAGTCTGTTAACCTGGCAATATTAAGGAGCTCTTTTAATTTGCTTGAAATTAAAAATTGTTCCTTAAAAAATAAAAATCTTTTAAGTTTTTTTTTTTAAAGCTGTACTTGTTAGCTGTTGCTTCTTCACCTAACCATGCTTTTGGACCTAGTTATTATCATTATTAAAAGGTTAGAATTCACTCTCAATCCTGATCCACTGGGATAAATAGCTTTTGAGACATTAGTCTTGCTTAACATCAAAATATCCTTTGTTGCCAACAGAGTAAAAAGGTAACCCACAGAATGGGACAGAATATTTATATAATATATATCTGATAAAGAGTTAATATCCAGAATGTATAAAATGGGCAAAGGACTTAAATAGACATTTCTTCAAAGAAAATATAGAAATGGCCAATAAACACATGAAAAGATGCTCAATATGACTTATTAAGGAAATGCAAATAAAACAGTAATGAAATACCACTTCACACCCACTGGGATAGCTTATTAAAAAGTAAACAGAAAACAACAAGTGTTGGTAAGAGAAATTGGAGCCTTTGTGCATTGTTGATGGGAATATAAAATGGTGCAATTGTTATGGAAAGCAGTATGGTGATTCTTCAAAAAATTAAATACAGAATTACTTTATGATCCAGCAATTCAACTTCTGGAGATATACCCCAAAGAATTAAAAGCAAGGACGTGAACAGATATTTGTATACCCAAGTTTGTAGCAGCATTATTCACAATAGCCAAAAGGTGGAAGCCATCCAGGTATCCACTGATGGATGAATGGACAAAAAAAATGTGGTACAGACATGTAACAGAATATTATTCATGCACAAAAAAGAAGGAAATTCTGACACATGATATAGCATGGGTAAAGCCAGAAAACATTATGTTAAGTGAAACAAACCAGATACAAAAGAACAAATATTGTATGACCTCCCTTATATGAGGTACCCAGAGTAGTCAAATTCATAGAGACAGAATGTAGAATGGTGGTTGTCAGGGCTGGGAATATGGAGGAAATTAGGAGTTAGTGTTTAATGGGTACACAGTTTCTGTTTATAGAGATGAAAAAGTCCTGGAGATGGATGGTGGTGGTAGCTGCAAACCATGTGAATATATTTCATGCCACTGAACTGTACACTTAAAAATGGTTAACATGGTAAATTTTTGTGATGTATATTTTGCCACAACTTCAATTTTGCCACAACTTTAGAAGTGCATTCACCTGTTAGATGTGTCTGGTTAAGTGAGCACTGTCTCAGTTCATTTTGCTTGGAAGTCAGTCATTCTGCCACTTCCCTGTCATTGAGAGGACTGATAACAAGAAAAGTCATTAGTTGAATAAGTGTTTCTCTATGTGTTAGTCAAACAAATGTTTCTTAAACTGAAGCTAGGTGGTGTAGTTTTATTTTCTTCATGAGTTCGCCTACAGTTGGCTCTAGATGTATTGCTAATTGTTGCTGGAAATGTAAATATATAGTGTCTTTTTGGCAGCTGTCCACTTCTTTACTGAGAGAGAATTTAGAAATTTGAATTATAAAAGAGATTATAATCCTATCAGGACAAGACATTTAGAACAATAATTTTAAATACAAGTGCTTACAAATTTTAGAACAAAAGGGTTTTCATTATAAATGAAGAGACTTTTGAGCTAATAAAAGATGTAGGCTTCTGCTCAATAGCAATGGAGTACTGAAATGTCTTTCTAAAGGTTGATTGGAAGCTTTATAGCCTCCTGGCATCCCCAGTCCCACTTACTTTGAGGTGATAGCTAACTTCTGGAAGGAAGATGTACTGGTCTTATTTTTCCAGCATTTCTGTGTTTAGCTATTTGATTTATGTTCTGCTTTAATTCCCTCCCTCACACCCACCTTTTTTGGCTAGACTTTTTCCTCCAGAATTCCTCTCATGTAAATAATTTGTTACATCAGAATATTCTGAATATTGCTGCTAATATTTATATTGTAGAGTTTAATGTTCTAGCTTTAATATGTTCCTTTTTGGGATTCAAATTTATTCTCTAAGGAGTAAAAAAGGAAGATTTCTCCAAAGACAGTTGAATTGTCACTGTCAGCTTTTACCATCGGTTTACATCAGCTTCTAAGCTGTTCAGAGGTGAAAGCGCATTTAGTCTTGCTCTGAATATCAGTATAGTCATGTGACCCTCTTAAGAACACCTGTACTGTCTTGTGGTTATATTAGAAACTTGGAGATTTTCTCCGAATTTTCTAATCTTGTGTTTTAGAGTGTACCTAGCAGTAGTATCCTTTAGTGGGGAGGGGAGGAAGGGATTCTTAACAGCTGCCAGAGATGACATGTCTTTGGGGAAAAAAGTTTTATTGGTAAGTAACTGGTGTTTGTTTTATGCCTCAAAACCACACTGTAATTGGCCTGCATTAGCTAGTTTAAATCAACTGCAAAGTTGCTTCTAACGTTTCAGCCCTTTTAAATGTAGAGGAACAGTGACCACCTAAAGAAAGGCAGTGAGTGATTCAGGGTTTCTGTGACATGCTTTGGGCTCCCTTGTATAAGATGAGATTTTTTTAAACTAAGAAACTGTAGTTTTGAAGGCCAGTATAGCTATAATATAGATATAGTAGATGTTTATAAATTGAAATTAAACTGTAGTTTTGAAGGCCAGTATAGCTATAATATAGATATAGTAGATGTTTATAAATTGAAGTATTTTCTCTTTCTAAATCAGCGGAAGGTCCTGGGAAATCAGATGATGTCAGAAAAGAAAAACAAGTCCCCTACTCCAGAGTCTGTAGCCATTGGTGACATGAAGAGAGCCAGCAAAGAAAATATGAACTTAGTAAGACACTGTTCTTTGGACTTTCTCTTTGTATGTGTACATTAATAGAAAGGAGAGAAATTGATATACTGTCATCTGTTTTACTGTGTTTCTCTGGGCCGTTCAGCTATGCCTTTTTCTCAAGCCTTCCATTTATGCTGAGTGTCAACAAATGCATTTTTAGTTCAAGGAGGATATAGCCAGTCATATGCAGAGATGAAAAATACAGTGAGATAGCTCCATAAACAAAGTATTGGAGTTAGCACTTCTTAGTGGAAGGCGCTCTAGGGCAGGTAACATTTGAGCAAGACCTCCCGGGCACTGCACTGTCTGTGGGGCAGTCCTTCAAGGTGTCCCAGGCATGGTTACTTACTTAAGCCAACAATAAAATCAGTTAAGATTAATGGTATAAGTACATTGGTCTCAGCAAAACGCTTTACATTGAAATTGAAGAAATAAATAATTACTCTCAGTAAAGTCTGTCTATAGGAATTGACAGAACATTTAAGACACTATAAAATTTTCTTGTTACAGTTATTTTCTGGTTCTCCAGCTGAAATGATGACACCAACAAGACTGAAATGGTCTGAGGGAAAGAAAGAGGGGAAGAAAGGTATTATACTTACTCTCTGTTCGTACTGAATGTAATTCCTTTGTGCATCTAATCAGTCCTTAGCATTTTTTTGAATTCTCAGTGTAGTATGGTTATGGTCAGAAGTGATGTAACATTCAAGACTTTGTCCTTGCCCTCGAGTTCACTTAGCAGATGGTTATTGATCATCTACTCAGCACTGTCCCAGGTACTGAGGCATAGAGCTTTGAACACAGACCGGCAGGGACCCTGCATTCTTGGACAAATGGGACACATGTGAAAATATCTTCAGAATATTTGTTAAGCAAATTAAATGCAAGAGTAAATTAATTTGTGAGCCAAGTCTGGAAGTGCTGAGAATATGCTCAATAAACATGGACCAATTGTGTTCCTTTTTGGTGTAGACTTTAGCCTTTTTTATCAGTGAAGCTTTTCAGATAAATGGCACATGCTGAAGGACCCTGGAAATCAGATTATACAACGCGTTTTTGAGGACATTTAGGATGAAAAGGATTATTTAATGCTGGGACTGCTGGTTGCCCCAGGCTCTTCTGGCAAAGGCAGCGGCTGCTGTGTTTTCCTCTGTAGAAACCACATGGTTTGCTAGATAGAAGGCCTAGGGGCTTTGTAGTTAGACTTGATTTGAGCCATCTCTGGCTTGGGAAAAACATTTTCTCTCTGAGCCTGTTTCCTCCTCTGCAAATGAGGACAATAGTTAGTTATGTCTAGCTCACAGATTTTTTTTTATTAAAGTATCACTGATATACAATCTTATGAAGGTTTCACATGAACAACATTGTGGTTTCAGCATTCACCCATATTATCAAGTCCTCACCCCCACCACCCCCGCAATTGCAGTCTCTGTCAGCGCAGTGAGATGCTATAGTGGCTCACAAATTTCTAATGAGGATCAACTAGAAAATGTTTTGGAAGCACTTGTAATTGTTAAAGCATTAATGAGTTGTAATGATTTTGACTTAAGAAAACTGGGTGAGGCTTGGACTTGTTTTATAAGGCTTGTGTTGCATATGGAGTGATCTCTGGCTTGACATACTCATTTTCCCACATGAGCAGAATTACAGTTTGAGACATCAACAGCAGAGAGAGAACAAAAATCTAATGCTTATGGGTAAATCTTTATTCTTTTCTAGAAAATTAGATTTCAGTATATTCTCCTTACTTATTCTTGAATGAATTATCTGAACTCTCTTTTCTTTCTAACTTGCTTTTGACTTCTGGTCTGGGCTGTCTGACTGAGGATAGTTTGGTGTTTGAGTTATGTGTGTCTAAATATTTCTACCTGTACAACCATGGGTCAAAACCAAGCATAAGTTATTTTTGAAGAATATATTGTTTTGTATCAGTTATACCCTTTTGTCACTTTCATTTTTGGGGATAATCAAGAAATAATAAGTCTTTTCTATTGTGACAACCTTATTTTTGGAAGAGAGAAGTACACTAAAAAAGTAAACCAGTTGAATATTTTACCAAGATGCTTTAGAGCAGGGATTCTTGGGCTGTTATCTGTGGGCCTCCAGAGGGCTCTAATAAAGTTTCTGGCATTGTTGATGTCATTTTATGCATAGGTGCTTATGTGCATTTTTCCAGAGGAGAGGACAAATAGTTTTTATTAGATGCTCAAAAACGTTAGTGATTCAGAAAAATAGTGGCCTAATTATGATTAGCACACATAATGTAGAGGGGTCACAGTGAAGGCATTATAGCATGGAGAAGACAAGTAGTGACTCTGTAGCATCTTACTACTTGATGGACAGTGACTGCAATGGGATGTGTCGGGGGGACTTGATAATATGGATGAATGTTGTAACCACAGTGTTGCTCATGTGAAACCTTCATAAGATTATATATCAGTGATACCTTATTAAAAGAAAGAAAGAAAAGAAAAAGAAAAGTAGTGGCCAATAGATAATGAATGCCTTCTATTGGATTAGGCAATAACATTTCCACTTTACTCTCTCCCTGGTCACTTCTTCTATCTTGAAAAGCCTTCTTTGGCTGTCACAATGCTACACTATTCTAGTTCTCCTGTCTGCAGTGGCTTGCTTTTGCTGGCCTATCCCTCCACCTCTTTTCTACTGTGACAGTCTTAAGTTCTTGGCTTGCCTTAGCAGCTTGGTCTGCTTCCACAGCTCAGTTCTGCTCTCTGTATGATAACTGCTCCCAAGCCTGCACCTTCACATCTTAATTCTCTTCCATTCTCCAAGCCCACAGATCCAAATACCTGCTGTCCATTTCTTTTACATGGTGAATATAACCCTAAAAATTTTTTATGATTTTATAAAAGGAACAAATATTTTTTTGAAGAAGATAATGCAGTTTTATTGTCATCATCAAGAGCATACTCCAAAAAGACACTTATTTAATGTTTCTTCACCTGGCAGTACTGACATTTGGGGTCATATAATTCTTTGCTGTGGGGGCTGCCTGGTACATTGTGTAATATTTAGCAGCATCTCTGGTCTCTACCCATTAGATGCCATTAGCACCCTAACTCCAGTTGTGACAACCAAAACTATCTTCCAACATTACCAAGTATCCCCTGGGGTACAAAATAAGAACTGCTGACTGTACACCTACTTCTCAATGAGCATCTCTTTCAGGAGTCATAGTCTTACCTGCTCTTCAAAGCCCAGCCGAAACCTCACCTCTGCTTTGAAAGTTTCTTTGGCTAACCCAGCCAGATGGACCTTTGCCTTTGAGCTCTTACTGATGCTACTAAAATGCTGACATTTAATCTGATTTATTGTAGTTATTTACTTCATGTGTATAATTTTATCTCTGTAGCTAGTTTCTCTTCTGGAAGTCAAGGACTAGACTTACAGTGTATTTGTGGACTCCTGTCTTCTGTTTTCTTCCCCCCAGTAATGACAGTGCCTGCATCTAGTAGGCATTTAGTAAATGAGAGGTGAGAGGAGTAGTGGTGGCAAAAACGTGAGCTCTGCGTTCAGTTAGGCTTGGGTTCACTTCCCAGCGCTGCTGTTTAATAAAGCTAAAATTGGGGCAACTTAACTTGTGTAGGTTTTGGATTCTTCACCTGTGAAATGACAAGAACATTATCTCGTGCACAGATTGTTGTGAACATAAGTGACATAATGTACAAGAAGAACTCTAAGCAGCTCCTGGCACAAAATAAACACTTAGTAAAGTGGTAGCTGTTATTGCCATTAATATAATTTAATGAACTGAGATTCGGGCAAGTGGACAAAGTGACATGTACTTGGTAGAGAGTCATAAATTCTCAGTTAAATACTTTAAAATCACACTTTGTAGAAAATATTAAGTAAAGATTCTCCAGCTTTTAGGTTGGATGTTTGCAAAAAGAAATAGTTATCGACATACTTAATGCTCTTATTCTCTTTCAACCTAGGATTTCTTTGAAGGATCCGAGATCTCCTGTTGTCTACCCAGAATTTTCTCTTCAGTGGGCCGGGTGTCATTACCGCTTATTCAGAAGCTAGGACTTGCAACTTGCCTGCTGCATTTTGAATTGCGAATGTCAGCTAATACTGTGACTCGACTGACACCTCTAACCCTGCTTACTGGATGGTGGCTGCACACTCCGCCTTCTAGAGTGCTGGCTACTCTCACTTGCTCTTTTTTTTTTTTTTTTTTGTTAATATTATGGAGAAACCACTAACTACCCAACCAGCTCAGAGCACAGGAAAGGGGCAGAGCCAGGCAGGCTCCAGTGCTCATTCCATTTATTTATTTAGGCAGATTATATTTTTTAAAAGTATGAAATTTGTGTTCAACTGCTGGTGATTTAAAAAGTACTGTAATTCTAATGGATTTAATGTTATTTTTAAGTGTTTTGGAGCTTTTCTCTGTTTTGACAGTATTGGGGGGATGTTTTGGTTGTTTCTTGTTTATTTCTAATTTGTTTATTTTTTTAAAAATTATCTCTTGGATGGGTAATCTAAATGGGCTCTAAGCCAGATATTTTCCCGCTTTTTCACCTTACGCTTTGGGAATACTCTTTCTGTTGTCAGGCTGTATTCCTCAATACCTTCTTTGTGTCCAAAGAATTTATAGCTTTCCTGGAATATTTTATTATTTATTAGGCCGAGATTGTATTGAAAAATGGAGAATTCAGAATGATACAATATTTTAACAAAGGTCAGTGGTTAAGCTGTGTCCCTTCCTTTCTCTCTCTCTTCCCCTTTCCTCAGCGATACCAAAATACTTGTGTGTTTGCTGACCTTGCTTCTTTCCTTCAGTTTTTTCTTGCTAAAACATTTCTGGTGCTGGTATTTCTGTGCCAAATCAAGTTGTGACTCAAGGAAGATCACCAACAGCTGAATAGGGGTTTGCTGAAATACCTGTATGTAGTGGGAGCTCTGGAGTGTGACTAGGCAGGGGCCGGCTGGCTTTATGTCTGGGATGACTGTGTATGGGTGGGATTCTATTGCATCCTTCTAGAGGATCATGTGTGCAGCCTACACCATCTCCTGAGAGCAAGCTGGAGTCAGAAGAAGGAAGTGAGCATCAGCTTCTGCAGGACTGAGTGGATTTAAAAGCGAGAATGTTCTCATTTGGAAGCATTTGTGGCTTACTGCACTGCTCCTCTCTTTGTCAGAATGGGCACAGGGGGTAGTTTGGAGACAGGCTGAAGCTTTGACTGGGTTGGGAATGTTCACATGTGTTTGAGGTGAGCAATGGCATGGCTTTGATCTAGTGTAAATACTCTGCCCGAGAGCAGCACACGGCAGGCAAGAAGGTTTGGTTTGTGCCCGCTCTGTTAAACTGTGTGACTGTTCTCACCCTGTGTACTGGAGCCGCATCAGGCCTCTTTGGGGAAGCCGTTGCCCAGCAAAATATGATTTGCTGACTACTTTTAAACTGTTGAAAATGCTGTGTTATTGCTGAAACGAAAGTTGACTCTTCGGGAGCGCAGTTTGGATTTGAGTCCGTGTGTCACAGTCTTCTCTTCCATACTTTCTGTTTGTTTAATAGCAGTAGTGAGGAAAAATGTAGTTTGGCCTTTCAACTTGATAGACTGTGAACAATAGATGGTTAGAAGTACAAACCTGCTTAAAGCCCCTTTCTCTCGTGCAGTTTTATGTCACTCTTAAAAATACATATTAGCAAAATCATTTGAGTAGGTTTCTATTTGACTTTTTTTCTTAGTGAGAAAAAATAGAATTCCTTGTGCCAACTATCAGTGAATTCAAAAAGAGGTCCTTTTGGTAGGACCAGACTGAGTAGTATTCTCCGTTAACTCTATGCTTCCTTCTTTATTCCTCTAAGTGTTTCATCCTAGACTGGTGTGGTCTGTTGAACATACGGTCTGGTATCAAGTATAGAGAGCAGAGCAGTGACCTGATACCTCCTTGTCGTGTTCATTCTGTGACTCTCCTTGAGGGAGGTAACTGAGATGTGGGAGACATTTTGGTTGAATGGAGTTGGTAACCAGGGCTAAATGCTTGTCACATGCACATGCTTTTATATAGCTTGCCCCTTTGGGCAGTTTATGTGTGTATTTGGGTATGTTTGTTTCATTTATTTATTAAATATGCCATCCCTTGCTTTAAGGGTATGGTAAGTCATTTTTTTAAATACAAGCTGTGATCTAGTTGGAATCCAAATTTGAGAAAGAAACAGCATAACCTTTTGCCTTAATAATGTATAACTGTTCTAATCCTATGGAATCGTATGGACAGAACTCAGAGACAAAAACCCTCTATCATTTGCCACAGAAAGGTACTGTCTCCCATTCACCCTTGTGGGCAGGTATTTTTGAGCCAGTATTTAACATTTTTAAAATCTTTAAGATGTTTTTTTTAATCTGTTTTGTTATGTTTATTTTTCACATTGGAGCAATCTCTTTGGAAATGCCTCTTCTTATGGCTTTTGAAATTTCATTTCTTTCTGGGGTCAGTAGCAGTGGATTTTGATTGTGGTGTCCATGTGGGGCAGAGTATCAGTACCACAGCACAGCAGCAAAATGCAGCCCTTCTCCTTGATTGACACCTGCACGCGGGGAGCTGTGCTGGAGCGTCAGTGCAACCATAGGCACTGGAGCATCCGACCTTCACAGGGTAGACCTCTGTGTTGGGACCAGGGAAGCTGCTTGAAAAGTTCCACTGTAGCAGGGGGAGAGGATTAGGAGATACTGATTGCACCTGGTAGTTAATAAGTTATAACTGAAGCCAGCATTGATGGTCCTCAAGCTCTTTACCCTGAATGTCCTTGCAGAGTCGGGCAGGAGTGGCAACAGAGCACCCTTGGGGAATGGAGTAGTGTAGGGCTGCTGACTGAGGTGACCACTGGGTGCTCAGAGGGGGTGGTGGTGTTGGCCTGTAGTGAAGCCAGATGATCCCAGAGGGTCAGAGCTAAGCCGTTCTCTCCTCCCAAATGGAGATGTTTCTATTCGGCTTCCCTCACAGGAGCCTAAATGGGGACATGGTTTAAAGTCCTGCCTTCTAGGAGAACCTGTGGTCATCGGGACTCTGCCCCACTATCCCTAGCCATGTGGCCATGTGTGACTGGGGAAGGGTCCTGTGGGAGCTGACTTCTCTAGACCTTATTCTTACCTCGTAAGGGCTCTGTGGATGTTGAAGCTGACGGCTCGCATCCTGCAGTCTTTCTTGGTAGAACTCCTTTTCCCAGAGAAAGCCTCGTCCCTGCCCTGCTCTACCTTGAAGACTTTGTACTGAAGATAGGACCTTGATCCAAACCTGGATACCAACATTTGGCAGGATTGCCCTGGAATTTGAGAAAGATTTGGGTTCCTACGATGCACAAGCTTTTCAAACCAGTGGTAATTAACCCTAAGATTCAACTACAGAAAAGCTGGCTTTCCTAGGCTGCTAATGCTGAGATCTCTCCCCCAACAGAGAGCTGATGGTGGGGCTAGTGAGGAGGTGGAGAGCATAGTAGTCTAAGTGGTTGGGTTACCATGGAAACTGGAGTGTGCGAGGCCACAGCCTGTGCTGAAGAGCCATTGAGCACTCCCCCAGATACGTTTGGGCCCGGCAGAACCTGACGGGAGAAAAACTCCTGCCCCACATCTTTCTTCATGGCAGAGGTTGCCTTTGTACCATCCCTGAGCTTGCTCATCAAGAGAAACAGGATTCTTAACTGGTTCACCATTTCTTATTTTTCATTCCTATTTGACTGTATTTCATATATATATGTAACTGTAAAGAAACAATCATATATATTGTCTTTTATATTCATGTAATACTCTGAAATTAAATTTCTTTTGTTTCATGTCTGTAGATTTTGCTCTCTAAATTCACGTTTTGACTGATGGATGATTTTAAAGAGAGGTTGCCTCTCCCACCCCAATCCACCCTGACAGAGAGGTTGCCACTTGTTCTGAGGAGTATCAGTCTCTAAGAATAGCACCTCTTTGGTTTGTTTTTCAGCTGGGTAGGTGGGGTCAGGCGGAATGGGGCTTTTGACTGATAGGAAATGGGATTGGAAACTCTAGGCATTCTGGGCTTCCTGATTTCTTGTGGCCGAGTCCACAATGCTTTGAACAGATTTCAGTTTCTCATGTAATCTTATTTCCTTGTTTAAAAATAAGGAGTGATAGTTACAGTAACAGTAAAAACCAAATGACATTTTCATCTTGGGCAGCAAGTTACAGTGTTTAGAGAACTCTGGTTGAAATGTTTCTGCCACTTACTGTATTTGTGACATTGGGTATCCCTCCTCTTCTGTAAGGTGGGGTTAATGGTACCTTGCTTCAATAATACCATGCTTTCAGATGTAGAGGCTTAGCATTAAAGGTTTTAGTCTGGGGTCTGTGGTTATATTTCAGGACATCATTTTCCATTGTAAAATTTTATGTACATTTGAATTTTTCTAAGGGAGAGATTTCATAGCTTCCACAAGAATCCCAGAGGAGTCTGTAACCATGAAAATACTGAGAACCATTAGCCTTACATAGTGCCTGGCAGATGGCTAGTATTCATTAAATGTTAATTCTCTCTGTGCCAAGAATAAATTTTATAATCAGCAGGTTATTGATGCTGACATAGTTATTTTTGATAACAAAGGAGTTCCTTAAATCTGAACTAGAAGTAAACACTCTTCAGTTGTCTGTACACCATTGCCTGTCCGTGCACTCCCTACGTGCTGCTCAGAACCTTCTCTCCTCATCCCCAGGACCAACTCGCATTATTTTCTCTAAAGAAAGGAGCCATGTCTGTTCCTGGAAAGTGAAGAATGGAGAGACTCTTACAGATAGTACATGAGAAACAGAGTAATGCAAAAGAAAAAAAGAAGGGGTGGAGGGGATAAGAGTTAAAACAGGAGGAAGATCAAAATGCCTAGTACAGTGCTGAGCATGTAATCATTAATAATTGAATCATAGAAAGGAATGAAGAAGTGAGCATGTGTTAAACAGCAGAAAGGGATGATGGGAAAAAAAATGGGAGGTCTTTCTCGGTCTCTTCCTCCCAGGCCAGTTCTGTGACCATTGTGCCCTGTGGTGGCCTGCCTACCTTTTGATCCTACCTACATACCTGAATGAGAAACATCTTGGGATGGGATAGGTGAAGATGCCTGAACTCCATCCAGGCTAAAGGACCAGGGTGTGGAGTACATCATGTTTGTTTGGATGCTTTTAAGACCTAGCCTCTTAATTTTCTCTTAAAATAAAAAACAAAAAACAAAGAATTCAGTTGAGTGATAGCCAAGTCTTGGTCCAAGTTAATTATTAAAATCTTAATGTTTATCAGCAGCATCCAGTCCCCAAATCCTGAGAGTCTTCCACCTTGGAACCAGGATGAAGGTTAGCAGAAGGGGCCTTTGGTGTCATTGCTAGCTTTCTCCTTTTATTCCTGGAAATTAGCCTTTAAAAATTTTTCATTGGTACCGAGGACTGCTAAATTCAGTTGAACCATACCTATGGGCAACAGAGAGGAAGCAGACTGTTTAAAAACTATGCTTGCAAAAGCCATTCCTCAACGCCAGTGTATAGATGTGGGAGCTGTTTTTAAGAGCTGTTCCTGCCCATGTACTTTTCTGATTTTGGAAGAGGAATATGGTAGGGCCTCTAAGGAGTTCAAGTCTTCTGAGAATGGAAACTAATGCCACAATTTATTGAGTACTTACTATATACTTAGCTTTGGGCTAGCCAATTAATTCCTTGTCTCATTAAAGTCATACATCTCCATAAAGTATTGTTATCTCTGATTTTACAGTAGAAGACACATATGAAGAGTTTAATATATCCATTGTCAGCTAAAAAGTGGTAGAGCCAAGATTAACATCAAGGGCTCCTGACATTAAGAACTTGATCTTATGCGGGGGTTACACACTCCAATGTTCAGAGGAGCCAAGAAGGAAAAGTAAGATTGTGAAAATAACAGCCATTCCAAGGGATTTCAGAATACCATGGGAGCCAAGTGCATCTCCTCCACTGCCCGGATTTGGCCCACAGGACCCATATGGCACCCTCTGCATGACGGAGTGCTGTTTGTCTCTGGCTGCGTCCTGGGTCTGCACAGGACCTTTCCCAGAGCTGCTCAGCGCTGGCTCTGGGATGACAGCCACAAGTGTGCCTTCCAGGAACAGGGTTCATTCCTTTGTCCCCTTGTATGCACTATCCCATAGGGTAGCCTCTACTCATGTGGATACGAGGACTTGAAATGGGGCCACTTTGAACTGAGACGTGCCCTCAGTGTGAAGTACAACCCAGAATTCAAAGACTTAGTAAGAAAAAAGAATGTAAAATGGCTCACTTTTTAAATATTGATTATATGTTGAAGTGATAATTTGGATGTATTGGGTCAATAAAATTATACCATAAAAATTAATTTTTTTTTGTTTTTGCCTTTTTAACATGGCTTCTAGAAAATACTAATTACACAAATGGCTCATGTTATATTACTATGTTCCTGAGCTTCTGGGGCTCTATTTCTAGGCTGTCCTTTCTTTCCCAGAACCCCCTCCTCAACTTCCCTGGCATCTGTGGCTCCATCATCTCTTTTCCAGTGGTTCTGAAATCAGCATGTAGAGGGAGGGGAGGTGAGAGGAGAAGCAGTGAAAGGCTTATCTGCTGGTTTCTCTGGGACTGACTCCTGCCCACCTTGGCTGGCTAGGGGAATGCCTCTGGGTGGTCCAGCTAACAGGTGCAGACCAGTAAGCACAGCTGTAGGGGAAGGTGAGTTCCTGCAAGGGAACTTCAGATCAGCATTGCCCCATGCACTGCCTGCCACTCCCAGAGGGGTTGCTGCCCTTTGGGGTTTGTCTGTGTTATGATCCATCAAGGTATTTTACAAGGTAATACATTTATAATATTTATCTATGTATGTGTATGTCCTGTATTTTCCATATGGACAAAAATGCAGCTATGAAGTGTAGAAAATGAAATTTGTGGGTGTTGAGAAGGGTATTCATATTTCCCAAAGCAGGAGACTCCTGATATGGTTCTTTAAAAGCAAAACAAGCTCAAAATAGAAATACCATTTGACCCAGGAATTCCACTCCTAGGAATTTATCCTAAGAATGCAGCAGCCCAGTTTGAAAAAGACATATGCACCCCTATGTTTATTGCAGCACTATTCACAATAGCCAAGAAATGGAAGCAACCTAAGTGTCTATCAGTAGATGAATGGGTAAAGAAGATGTGGTACATATACATGATGGAATATTATTCAGCCATAAGAAGAAAATAAATCCTACCATTTGCAACAACGTGGATGGAGCTAGAGGGTATTAAGCTCAGTGAAATAAGCCAGGTGGAGAAAGGCAAGTATCAAATGATTTCAATCATCTGTGGAGTATAAGAACAAAGAAAAAATGAAGGAGCAAAACAGCAGAAGACTCACAAACCCAAGAATGGACTAACAGTTAACAAAGGGAAAGGGACTGGGGAGGAGGGGTAGGAAGGGAGGGATAAGGGAGTGGAAAAAAAGAAAGGGGGCATTATGATTAGCATGTGTAATATGGGGGGGGGCACAGGGAGGGCTGTACAAAGAGAAGACAAGTAGTGATTCTACAACATCTTACTATGCTGATGGAAAGTGACTGTAATGGGGTAGGTGGGGGGAACTTGGTGATGGGGGGAGTCTAGTAAACATAGTGTTCCTCATGTAATTGTAGATTAATGGTACCAAAAAAAAAAAGCAGGAAAACAATTCCATTCACAATTGCATCAAAAAGAATACAATACCTAGGAATAAACCTAACCAAGGAAGTGAAAGACCTATACCCTGAAAACTATAAGACACTCTTAAGAGAAATAAAAGAGGACACTAACAAATGGAAACTCATCCCATGTCTTGGCTAGGAAGAATTAATATCGTCATCCTGCCCAAAGCAATATACAGATTTGATGCAATCCCTATCAAATTACCAACAGCATTCTTCAATGACCTGGAACAAATAGTTCAAAAATTCATATGGAAACACCAAAGACCCCGAATAGCCAAAACAATCTTGAGAAGGAAGAATAAAGTGGGGGGATCTTGCTCCCCAACTTCAAGCTCTACTACAAAGCCACAGTGATCAAGATGGTTTGGTACTGGCACAAGAACAGAGTCACAGACCAGTGGAACAGAATAGAGGCTCCAGACATTAACCCAAACATATATGGTCAATTAATATATGATAAAGGAGCCATGGACATACAATGGGGAAATGACAGTCTCTTCAACAGATGGTGCTGGCAAAACTAGACAGCTACATATAAGAGAATGAAACTGGATCACTGTCTAACTCCATACACAGAAGTAAATTAGAAATAGATCAAAGACCTGAATGTAAGTCATGAAACCATAAACTCTTAGAAAAAAACATAGGCAAAAATCTCTTGGACATAAACATGAGCGACATCTTCATGAACATATCTCCCTGGGCAAGGGAAATAAAAGCAAAAATGAACAAGTGGAACTATATCAAGCTTAAAAGCTTCTGTACAGCAAAGGACACCATCAATAGAACAAAAAGGTACCCTACGGTATGGGAGAATATATTCATAAATGACAGATCCGATAAAGGATTGACATCCAAAATATATAAAGAGCTCACACACCTCAACAAGCAAAAAGCAAATAATACAATTAAAAAATGGGCAGAGGAGCTGAACAGTTCTCCAAAGAAGAAATTCAGATGGCCAACAAACATATGAAAAGATGCTCTACATCGCTAGTCATCAGAGAAATGCAAATTAAAACCACAATGAGATATCACCTCACACCAGGAAGTACGGCCACCATCCAAAAGACAAACAGCAACAAATGTTGGCGAGGTTGTGG